ATATCCTATTCTTTTATCTACTCTGGTAGCACATCAACTCTGATTTTCAACTTCCTGAATTTCTAACCTCTAGATATTTTGACAATGACATTATCTTGAGCAATTTGTTCCGCCGTATTATGCAAGGTAGCCGCCACTACTTTTCAAACCGCAAGATATCCACAACCTTCTTCATAAGGTGGTGTGAATCAGGTCACAGTGAACACTCCATTGCATCAAGATATCCTCTAACTTCATCCATTTTGTAGGATCTATTTTTCGGTTCTAGCAAGGTGAGCCTTCGATCATACCTCTGGCACCGCTTACAACATCGAGATCAAAGATATTGTATGGTTTCAGTTATTATAAGCTGGTCTCGAAGTGCAAGATACGAAAGAGTTGTTGAAAAATATGTATAGCATAGTTCGACAAAAAAAACTCACAAGTATTAGAATAAAGGTTGATTTTTCTTAGAGAAAGCCTACACAACACGAATCCAAAAGGTAACATGATGCAAGAAGCCGCTTCTAGTTGAAGCAAGACATTTATCCCTGAACCAGCCGCATCACGACGAGATGCGGCTATGAGATCTCCAAATCTTCAAAAGATAAAGAAACATCAAACTTATCCTCATAGTATTGGAGGAGGATGAGGTAGTCATATTCCCCTTGAGGAACATGTAGAAAAACTACTGATGAAGAACCAACAGAAACACCTTTTTTGCGCTCATATTCTGGACAACCAGATACCAAATCGCTAGAGAAACTGCTGAAGCAAAGGAGTATGACAGAAAAGGATATCACGGCAAATATGTGTAGCATGTTGATTTCCATTTGAACTACCACCATGTGAATGATGTGGCGAAGTTCAAATTGTTTGCACTAATATTGATAGGGCCATCTAGGCTATAGTTCAAATCTTTGTCGAATGAGAGCATTGATTCATAGACCAATCTATGTGATAACTTCACTAATTTTTTCTTGGCTCGAAAAAAGCAACCAAGATAATTACTTCCATATGCGAAATCACACAAGGGAAATAGGAGAGTAAGTGGTCGTACATCGACAGTTTCAAACAAGTGGTGGTGGAAGTAGGAGGTTTTGATGAAATTCTCAAGTAATGGATCTTTGAGGATGCTATGAAACATGGTAGCTCCTTCAGGGAGACTTTTAGGCGCATGAAGGCCTATAGTCTGAAGGAACTACTAAATAGAAACATTTATTCATTAACCTTAAGGATAAACTTATCTCCTAAGATGATTACAAGGCAGCAACAAAAGGAAATTCCAATCTACCATCTAGGAAGGAATCTAACCGATGAAAGGAAAAGTCCGACTAAGGGAACCGTGGCCAGTATGACAAGTATACTTTTCTCAAAACCTCATGAGAGAAGATATACCAAAAGTGTGCAGACACCAAATTTTAGAAGATGGAGATCAAAATTTCATTCCCTTTTAGAGAATCCTCTAGGACCGATAAGACTAAGTATTTCCATTTTCATGAGAGTCTAGGACATACCACCAACGGTTGCATCTAGCTAAAATATACAATTGAGGATTTGATAAAGAGGGGTCACTTATCTGAGTATACCAAAGGCGACAAGAGGGGCCGAGAAAAATTACCAAAGGATAAGTTACCATCCAAGGTTGTTGATGTTGTGACTAATAGTGAGGAAAATAATAGTGAGGATAAATGAGCGAGTAAGGGGAAGCACTAATACATTACTGCCATTACTCGAGGTGCGCCCCCGCGCGAACATCCCTTTAAAGGGGGAGATTAAGAGGAAGATTGGTGAATTAATGGTCATCCATAAGAAAGATAGAAATACCTAAGGCAAGACCCTGTATAAACCAATGCTTAGGTTACAGGATAGTGAGAAAGTCGGGGGAGCCTCAAATGATATCTTCCCTCTATTCATAACAGCTGCGGTCGTCCACTTCAAAACACACCTTTAGTCATAACGACCTTAGGTAGGATAATGTTTGGGTTACGGGATAACTAGAAAGTCAGGGGGAGCCTCGAATGATATCTTCCCTCTATAGACATATAATCTCTAAGCGAGACAACTTTTACACTATTGATCATCTGGTTATATTGTACTTGTTCCCTCCAAATACACAGAGGAAAGTAAAAACTATAGGTCAGCGAGGCATTCTCAGGGCGCACGTTTTCAAGATCCTTCTGAATGGCAGAAATGGATGCCTTTGTAGCAGATAAAGTGGCCGAACGGAGGCCAGAGCTTTATTTTTCCTTTTTATCTCCCTATCCAATAGCTTTAAATAATCAACTAATGAGTCGGGGAGGTTAAAGATATTCAAGGCATCACATATCCTAGTTAGAGAAACAAATGGCTTTTTCACTTCTTATGGATACGTATCTCGTTGAAGTGTCGGGTTACATACCCTTTCTTATGGTAACTATTTCTCCTTACAACACGGATGAGATATGAAATCATCCTAACTATCGGCCCCAACAATGGCCAGAACGGAAGAATCAAGTCACTTATAATACACTAGATTCGATAACTCCGCCTCGAAAGCCTCGTTGGTCAAGCTGGCCAAGTAAGACTAATATTCTTCTGAAGTAGACACTCAGTGATCTTTCAAGCTATGAGGTCCTGGCCTAGCCAAGAAGATAGGATATGCAGTTCCCCCTCAAGAATCCGACTGAGAAGATCGAGGCAAAATCATCGCCATACCAAGCAAAGGAGGAACATTGACTTGCATTGAAGTATTTGAAGGACTAACAACATCCATGGCAACTTAGATTCCTCATCTTACTTGGCGGATTATCTCCTCATTCTTCATCGAATATACAAATAAAAATTACCAAAGATTAAGGGAATTACAGACAACAAAATTGAAGATATGGGGAAAGAATATTGAGAGCTCACAAAAAATTACCTTCCTTTCTTCCTTAGTACGAGTATCCATCAACATGCGGTTTCAACAAGCCACTTCAAACGTTTTGTTGAGGCTTCATCTCAGGGAATAACACCGTCAGGGCAACCCAATTATTTAAGGAAAGTGACTCGTCATTTCTTCAAATAAAGCTCTCCATGGGACCGATCACTTTCTTTGTAGGCTTAACAATACTTATGAAATAGACCGGTACACCCATTTTCCTTCTCAGCACCTATGGCGTGCAATATCTCATGGGCCTCTTTGAGAAGATAAGCATCCAAAAAGAACCAGTTTTCAAAATGTTTTATACTCTCCAAAAACACTTCGAAACAACGGGTAACATAAACAAAAGTAATCAAGCCATGGCCCTGCTTTTGGTTGGCTGAACTATGTTGTACTCGAAAAAGGTGGAAGAAAAGGAACAATGATGGCTTTACCCCATAATATTCGCACCAATATTGGAAGAATTTAATATACGCTAAACTCACAAGGTTTAAATGTGAAGAAGTGATCATCAAGTGGTTTAAAACCTCTACCTCAAAGTTGTTGAAGGGAAAACGGAGGCCCAATATTGAAAAGGAGCACTCATAAAAAGGAATGGCGCTTTCTCCGTACTCACTACAAATCCTTTGTCTTCTTTAGAGGTCAATACACCCCAACTTGAAGAAGGACCCATATCCAAAAAGGTCATATATTTTCATTGCTTGTGGATATTAAGAACTTTCTTTTGTGTTTACAACTTCTTTTATCTTTGTTAACCTCACGCGACTGTTTATTGCTTCAATCCATTTGTGCCACCTCTTCTAAATGACTATTCAATGAGAAAGCTTTCGAGTTCACCTATTTCAAGGTAACTTAGTAAAACATTTATCTTCTTCTGATTCTATTTGCTCTGCTAGAGTTTCTAAAATAGGGGTTTTTGAAGGAGGAACTTACCGTCGATGGTTAAGGTTTTCGGCCTTCACAAAAATCTTTTCTATATATGATTTTAATAGGGATGCAAAATTTATTTTTATATCAGCTATGTGCTTCTAATTACATTAAATGAGGAGTAGGCTATGACATATCATATTGTTTGCATGTCGTCGTATTATGGATATTATATATATATATATATAGGTCATTCTATTTGAGGCATGGAATGTTGTAGTACAAAAGACATAGAAGGAATAGGGGGTAAGATATATCCAATAGTTTACTTCTTACTTCTATAAGGCATGGAATGTCTTGTAGTACAAAAGACATAGAAGGAATAGGGGGTAAGATATATCCAATAGTTTACTTTTTACTTCTATGTTGGTAGTATTTGTATTACGGTTTGTAATTTGTCAACAATGATGTTAGATTATGAATTTTAAATTGATTTTAATATATGTCATTTTAATTAAATTACATTATTTTATGGTTTAATTGATAACAAATTTATTATTGATAGTATACTTATATAAATGACCTATAATATAAATTTTAAAAAATATATTAAATTTATAACAATCTTATTGTCAAAGGATTATTAAGAAAATATATATGTATTATTCCAAGTTAAAAAATCCACACTAAAATGAGTTTAAAATATGTCTAGGATTATTACGAAAATATACATCTAAACTCATCTTTTTACAAATATGAAGATACATTTTTGAACTTTTTTTTTTTTAACAAAACAGAGAGAATGGCTTACTTACAAATGTGGTGTATTTGTGGTGCATTACAAAGTTTACTTCCATATTATGATAAAGGTGACTCTTGACCACTAATGGTGGAATAGCAACCCCTTTATTTGTATTTATTAGGTTATCCCAAAGTCCAAAGCCACAATATCCTTATTTATTGGTCCCCAATTCTTGTTGTTTACAAGTGCAATCAATTCCAAACGCTCCTCTATGATTCTAGACCAATTGAATTAAGCAATGGAGGGACCAATAATTTCAGTAAAAATAGAGACCTAAAAACTGTGAATCTGTTAGTATATCCCATATGTATAAATAATGTACTTTTGTCTCTTCTATTTAGATATAAACTGTAAAAAACCAAAATCATTGTTAGCTAGTTACAACAAATTACTCCATTCTTGAGGTAAACAAAGAATACTCAGTTTATACACAACTGGTTTTGTTTGTTAAGCCACCTTCCATTTTATCTCAACATGTATCACTCCATTCTTTGAATTTATTAGATGATATTTATCATTAATCCTACCATTATGCACCACATCATTCAGGTTTATCTCCACATGCCCCAACGATTCCTGCAAACGAACCATTAAATTATCGTCAATATCAAATGAAGTGACTCGAGATAAATGAAATGACTTGTAACTGATAATGAATCAACAGAAACCTTTGACAGAAAACTGAAACTCTTCCTCTTGCTCATCACTTCAATGTGTATCTTCTCATGTAGAGGAGCCTCTTCTAGCATGAACTGGAATTCTTCATTCCAACGCGGTTGACGCGTTTTCTTCATCATCTACAAACAATCATTTTTAACAACTTTTATTCACTGAATTATTTTGAATGAATTGATTCTGAGACTAAACCGGAAATTTCACCTTTGTCCTTTTCTTTTCGCCTCTGAATGTGAGTATAGCATATGGATTACTGTGATGATCCCCCTCAACTTCATCGGCTCCCTGTATCACAACGGAAAGCAAACCTGCTCCTTCTTCGACCTCATCATCAGATATACTATTGATTCCACTATCCTTTCTAACATATCCTTCCGAGGATCCCCTGAACTTCATACTATCTTCTTTGAACGGAACAAAAGTCAAGTCCACCACAATTTGTCCTCTGAACTTCTTATTTGGTGTTTCGTTGATATTTGTGTCCTTAAGCAAATCAAGTGTAAATTCTTTATTCTCGTACGGCTTAAGCAGCTTTAGCGGGACTAACTGCATTCCCAGCTTGTCATGTGCACCAACCTTGTCCCAATCATAGACTTGTAATTGGAGAACTTGAGATTGAGGGTCTTTCACAACAATCTTGAATTTCTCGTTCCACTGTGGATTCAAATTCTTTCTCTTGATAGTAGTTTTCTTCGAGGGTAGTTTGTCACCAGTGAGACTCAGTTTGACATACGGATCAGAAGCTCCCAACAAATCCATTTTCAAAAGCTTGATTGCTCTAACCACATTCACATGTAATATTCCCACGGGCTTCTGTATCGCCACCCTGTGAAAATGTGAAGAAAAATTTACAAAGCTTATAAACCATAAAAGATAACTTCAGTTGAATATCGAAATAGAACTCTATCATGTTAATATTTTATAAAACTTACGTTGATTCATCAAGAATAGGAATTTCCAAGGTTTGAGGCCAAAGATAGAGGCTTGCAACTTGCTTTTTTATTGTTTCCTGTGAGCAACTTAAGTTGTTAGTTCTTTAAGTCTAAATAAATTAAGAAATGCCATGAAAACTGAAAGTGAAAGCGGAAAAATATGACGGCGAGAAACTAACAACAAAGATAACACGTTTTAGAATTGTGTAGGGGAATGTAAACAACAAATCCATCAAAGAACTCAACATTAAATGTGTATAGGAATGATAAATTTTTCACTAACTAAAACCACCGAATTTCTAGAATTCCCGTGTTTGTAGCAATCAAATGAATTTCATGATGTTAAATGAAAATTACAACTAGGAAACTTCAATTTGAGAGAAAGTTAACAAAAAAACAAATAACACAGTGTCAGTTTGCCGTTATTTATTCAAATTTCTAGACGAGTTTAACAATGTATATCAACTACGAAAAAATGGCAGTACCTGAACAAATCTATAAAGACCAGGTATTGACATGATGTCCCCTCCTGATATCACCATCCCAAAATCAACATGAGGCTGGACAGTGAACATAATTATTTATCAGTAAAGAAGCGATTTCGTCCGACTTATATAATAAACGCCGAGAAATGAAATTAGATTGAATATAATATTCCCCTTACCTTCTCCATCAAGGAAACCACAATCTTTGCAAAACATGGAAGTGTCGGCACCAAAGGTCTTAAAGTTATCCGCGGTGTAGCAAATATTTGTAAGTCTACCAACTGAGAAGAATCAAAATGAGTTTCTAGAAGGGTTGAAGCATTAACAATTATAAGTTTTTTCTTGAGGGCAGGCTTATCTGACCTGAACTTTGATCTTTAAAGACAACATGTGCAAGGTCAACACTATGTTTGGGTTGCTAGCCCATTTGATAACTTGTTCCATCACCAATTCCTTTTCATTTGTTTCCAAAACTTTCATACCTGAAGAATTACAATGACGGCGAAAAACAAATAAGATAATATACTAGACCTTAATACCCTTTAGCTTACAAGATCATATAGGTTGCAAGTAAAACTTATGTGATGAAGTGCCTGATGAGAAATCTTTCAAGTGCTCGTTATGTTCTAAAGGGCATGCGTAGTTTAAAAGTCCAAGGATTCATATTTGACATATGTATGATCTATCCTTAAATATTTATTTTACGGCACATGTCAATGATATTACATTGCAGAACTCTATGTTCTTCCTTACTCTAGCTAAGAATGCAATGTCAATTGCCTCTTTAGAGGACCGCCTTTGTGGGGGTGCAAGGCGGGCTACCGCACAAGGCCCAAAATTTGACACGTCTAAACTGCAGCTAAAAAGGGACTCAAAATATTTGTAATGGTTAAACCATGACAAAATAGGGCCCTTATTTGATTTGCCACACTTAAATCGTGGTTAACCTAACATGACAAAATAGGGCCCCAATTTGATTTGTCACAATTAAAATGTGATTAACCTACACAGGGCCCCCGAAAACTTAAGACGACTCTGCGCTTCAATAGTATTTTCACGCAGTAATTTCATTCACTTGATGCCAGATCATAATCAGCGATCAGAACTCAACTCCAGGACTTCAAACACAACCTCTTCGTTGATCTCCACAACATGATTGCACCTCTACTACTCTATTCTTATGACTTATTTATGACACACAACGATATGTAACTATGTCTCACTGTGAAATATTTCCTAGAATAGTTGAATTTCGGATTAGAAGACGAAACATTGGCACAAAAAGATCGACTTACCGCAGATAATAGGAGGAAGAGTACCAAGGCTCAATTGATCAAACTCAATTGCTTTGATCTGATACTTTCCAATGTATTCAGCAAATATTGGTTCTGCAGTAGTTCTAATTATCCCACAAATTGCCTGTGCATAAAAACACAAACACCATTGAACAATCATCATCATCATCATCTAGTAATAAAAGCACAAACTTTACCATATGATCAGAGAAATACCTTCTCTAAGAACGGCCACATATCCAATAAAAACTTGTTCAACCAATCAACCTGATCAAACATTCAAATATCATATCAGTAACCGAGTAAACAAACACAACAGTATCAAAATCGAAAGCTCAGAACAAGTAAACGAAAACTAACTCGTTCATAATCAGGTGTCTTAACCCATAGAGGAATCTCAGGTAAAAGCTCTTGCACAGCAATTGGGCCTAATTCACTAATCGGTCTAACAACAGGAACCTGCAACATTCAAAAAATTTTAAAACCAAAAAAAATCAAATTTTGAAACAAACCCAGAACTCAAAATGAAAATGGGTATCTAAAACAGTGATTACATCAACAATGGGCTATATTGAATCAAAACAAAAACAAAAAAGAAAAGAACATGCAAGAAGAAGTTAACCTTGACTTGCTTGGCTTCAGAATAAACAAAGAGAAAAAACCCAACAAGAAGACCAAGAGGAATTCCGAGAGCGAAACCAAGAAAAGCGAAGAAAGTAGCAAAGAAACCCATATGAGAAATGGTGGACAAAGAAAATGAAATGATGGTTTTGTTGAACTAACGTCAGAGGAAAAAGGTTTAAACAGTTTCCAACGTAGGAAATAAAATTGAAGAGGGTGGCGAAGAAAACTATTATAAATAAATAAAAAAAGAAAAAAATTAAATAATGTGGTGAAAATGGCAAGAAATACAAGGTTGTTTTTTAGTATTCTAGTGAAATGAAAGCGCCAAAACAAGAAAACACCTTGCTATGTGATGTGAGTAACTTCAAAATGGCTCTAACCTCATTTATTTGGTTATATAGTGTGTCCTTATCATGCCTCTCTGTTTAGATTGTGATCCAAATGTTGTCATTTCACACGTCTATTGTGAAATAAAGTAAACATTCAAAGGATTGGTGTTTTTCTTTTTGTGAAAAACTTCTTTTTGGTGAGAGGGTTGTGTCAAAGGTTAAAGTTCAAAAAAAAAGAAATGGGTTTATAATTACTTTTTAAAAGAAAATTAGCTTTTTTTTTTCTAAACTTTTTTTGAATTTTGGATATGAGGTTTGTCTTTTTTAGCTTTTTTTTAAATTTTGGATTTGAGGTTTGTTTTTTTAAACTTTTTTTTAATAATGGGTAAATATAATTATATTAAAAGGAAAATAGAAGAACTACAAAAGTGAAAAAAAAGTGATTTGGTAATAACACTAAAGTATTTTAGAAATTATTAAAATCACTCGAAAGAAATCATAAAATAAGATTTGTCTTTCTACAAGATCGAATGTGATATGTCTTACAAAGACTATCAAGACTTATTGGTTAAACCACATATATAGTTCGTCAGTTTAAACACGTGGGAGGTTCCAACAACCACATATAAAAAGAGTAAAAGGATATCGAAGTCTTTTAAAAAAAAAATATTTTCATAAAATTACATATCCACCAATTTCTCCTTGGTCATTGTCTTTCATGAGAAAATGATGTCATTTTAAAATTTTCAAATATTTTAAACCACAAAGTACTAAAGGTAAGGTTGGCTCTGACCCTATACCTAACACTAAAGGATTTAACATTCTCAAATAACAAAACTAAATATTTAAGAAGTACCTGCAATCACTTAAAAATTATATACCAGATACGTGTCACTACTTCACAAGTCACAAAAAAAATACTAATTGACTTACTTCCTCAATCCCCGACATAGGCCACACAAAAATACCATTAGGGTCAACAATTATATGACATTTAAAAAAATTAACCCTGATGTGTATCATGCATTGTAATAACTTTCAAGAGAAGACAAACACCTTTGTAGTGGCTCAATTCTTCCAAGGAAGAGAAAAAATTTGATAAACCTTCATTAAAGGAACTTCACTCAGATAACTTTTAATGAATAGTGCATAGTACACACTTTTAGCTATAAAAAACTCCACATTCACCATGACTTTGCATCCAAGAATCCTCACCTTTATAGGGGTTATCACTGTGAATAATCGAAGCATGTTACTAAGTATCTTCAGTTCTCAGACAACAAATTCATCCTTCACCTAAAGTCTCAAACTCCAAACACCTATTTCTCAGTGATTTGTGATCTTGTTGGGTTGTCTCACTGCACCAAGATGTGAAAGAATCTTGAATACCGTGATCTCAAGGTAAAACAACTCAACTAAGAGTTATCCCAAAAAGAAGTAAGTAAACCATTGCCCATCTTCCTCGAAAACATGTCTAAGAACCAATTTGAATTGACATTATGATTTGAACCTCTTAAGGAAACACTTTTCCATCAAGTTTATATGAACCCTCTGGTCCTCCATGTGGCAATGAAGAGACTACGTGAGGCATGTATCTGGTGGATAAGATGTCACGTCATAAACTAGAGCCATCGTGGATCATCTTTCACCACCATTTTCTAATCACCATCAGATTAATTAAGCAAATATCTCTAATACTCAACCCACTTTGACACCTAGGTTTGCAGATGCCCGACTAATGAACCTAATAAATTTTGGACATATCTTTGGCACCACCCCAAAGAAACCTTTTATGCAACCTCACAATTAACTTCCAAATCCCAAGCAACATCTTTAATAAATACAGATAAAATATAGGAATAGTTTGAGAACAATGTTGATGAGATTTACTCTCTAATTCAAGCTAACATACATATTACTAAACATGCTAACCCTCTAAGAGACAAGTTTGATAAGAGGCTCCCAAGCGGTCCCTTAGTGGGAGCTATCTTCCATCGAAAGACCAAGATACTTAAAAGGAAGAAAATCATGCTTACAAAAAAAAACCTCGGCCGTAGTAATGAAGGATGAAGTGACATTAACCTCAATCATAATACTCTTAGGCTTTATTTGGGAGTTTGAAAGGGAAGTGAGGGGAGGGCTTTGAAGAAAAAGAATGATTGATTGAAAAGAACAGAAGGGTTTAAGTGGGGAGGGTTTTTGGGGATTTATTTTTATTCAAAAACCAAAGTCCCCCTAATTTGGGAACTAAAAATTTGTATTAAAGGAGACGTTTTGAGGGGTTAAAAAATAAAAAATATTAAAAGAGATGTTTGGAGAGACCAAAAAAAAAATATGTTGATGATAAGCATTTTTTTTATCATTTTATACAAAATCCTTTTTTCAAAAAAATATTAAAAATTTCTCTATATTTTTAAAAAAAATCGTTTTCCGATGCCCTCACTTCCCCTTCCCTCCAAACTCCTAAACAAAACCTTAGAAAAATCACATGTAGGCCATTAGTTAATTTGAAACCTCTAAGGGTGGATTTAATAATCCATAGGTTCTTGATTGTGCCTTGCCCAAAATTAATGTATCATCAATATATTATAAGTTTCAAACCACAAGATCAGAGAAATCAACCCCAAAAACCTGGAGAAAAAAAGCCTAAGGGATACCACCCTATGAAGAATGAGGTCTTAATGGCTGAAAACTCCAATTCCTACATCACTAACAAAAAAAAAGGGCAAGATAATCCCTTGTCTTAACCTTTTTAAAAAGTTTGTTTTTTGATTGGGGCTAAAATGAACGATCAAATTTATATAATTTTTGTTACTAAACCAGTTCTTGAAAATTCGAATGAAATACTATTTTTTTATACTTTCATTGTCTACTATCATGTGTCTTTTTAGGGCAATGTTCATTTGAAAAAATATTATATTGTATTTAATATTTTGGTGAACTAGGTGATGTCAAATTAGCAAGCGTACTAATTGTGTTGAAGTAATAAAATAAAAGATCGTCTCCACAGGGATTGTGTTATTTTAACAAGATGATTAGTGTGTCTCTAAAAGTAAATATGGGGGGTTTTCAAATTATATTTGCAAAAGTAAATTGCGAAAATAAAGTTATTGGAAAATAAGATATGGATAAAGCGATCAGGTTTCGTTTGGATTCCACTGATTATCCATGTTGGTAACTGTGTCTATTTCCATGAAGTGATTTTCTAGAATTACGATAAATTAACACGACCTTTATAACCAATTCATCGGTACATAACTCACTTCTCTTAACGGCAACTCCATAATTACTTAGGCAAATTCTAAGTAAGAACTTGCAAGAATGTTAGTTATTCTTAAATGTATTAGTAAGTTTGAGAAATTATCCTATTTCGAGTTTGCAATGTTAGGGTCAGTAATTGCTAAGAAACTAAATTCAATTCACATGCTCGGCAACATAAAAAAATCGTTAAGATCAAGAGTAACTGAATAATAACTATAATATCAAATCATGAAATATAGTACAAAGCCAGCTACATAGTTCAACATATTAAATCAGCTTCGTCTAACAAAACTTAATTAAAAGTAAATTAGATATTCATAGTAATATAAGTCAATACCATGAGTTTAGAAAAAAAATACATGAAAACCAATGAAGAATGAGGTCTTCAATGGCTGAAAACTCCAATTCTTAAGCTCCGAAGTTGTCGTGTCGTCACTTTCTGTCTCCGAAATGTGTAACCCCTATAAAAATATGCCTTTTTGCCTTTTAAACTAGTCAAAAAGGTATCAATGGAGATTCCCATCATGGCCACTATCATCATAATCACTTCCATGGTGCGCTGGAAAAAAGAATTATTGTGGTCAGGATGCTTTGCATCACGCTACGATGAGCTCCTATAGTGGCCATGATGGCACCACAATTATTCTAGAGAGTAATTACTTATTTTTCTTGTTTTTTCTTTTAACTTCAGGATTCTTCTTTTTCTTTCTCTTCTTCTATTTTTCCATAACTATTCTTCAAACAAACTCATATTAACTCGAAAACAACTCAAATTGATTGTAGATGCTCGAAAAAATTATATGATGGTCGAGTTTCATCACAACCCTAATATTAGTTTGTTGGTTGTCCTCAAGGAACTCGCTAGTAAACTGAAAAGTTCAACAAAAATAACATGGTTATCCTTACTAATGAACATCACCATTCTCTTTTCTCTGGTCATCACTTCCATTCATTCTTCAATCTAGATAAATCCAAAAATTTCTTCCAACACTCAAATATACTCAATCTGTCTCTCATCTCACCTTTTTCATTCAAATTGAACAAGGTGATCACACAATCAACATACATAAGCATTTTACCATAAGTTTGCAAAATTTATAATAAAGTCAATAAAAGTCATATCTAAATACACACTTATGAGGTCTTTCGAGGTTGTAATCGGGGCTTATATTAAGGTAGGATAATTTTGAGATAATAGTCTTAAACCTTGGAGTTAGGTACTTAGTTTTCCTTATGTCATCATCGTCCTTACCTATCAACAATTTTCCTAATCAAAAGTACTAGATAATAATGATTTGATGGTTCTTTTTGTTCACATTTTTTTGAATAATCTAATTTAACTTCTTTATTTCCTATATTTATAATATATTTTCTTATAACCAATTTTTCTAGTATCCCAACCTCAAACTTAAACATTGTTAACTCCTAAGAGAAACCCTAAATTTATTCTTTGCATTAGACAAGGAAACTAAAACTTCTACCTAACTCAAAAGAGGGTGGAAAGATTAATCTTTCAAGT